TCATAAAAGTTGTAAGCAGATCCTGATGCAAACGGATCTGACATGATAAAACCAAGCTGACCTTTGCTAGGGCAAGGTGGAAAAAGCCCTTACAATGCATTATGAAAAAACCCGACCTATATATATTTGGGGTCGATGATATGTTTATGCTTTTTTCACAGAAAGAAAATAAAATCTGGACCTGGATGATGTTGAGGCTGCAGATGCCCCACAGAGGTCTTCCAGAGGCAACTGGGGAGAGGTCCTTGGTCCGGCCTTTCCTGCCCCCAAGGAGAGGAGTGCCTGATAACAGAACCTGCTGCTCCACTCTGCAGGGTGTCATACTGCCTCTAGAGAGTCAGGGAGACCCGGCTGAGATAAGTGCCAGGATGTGCTCCAGATAGCTGAATCCAGCTCACCTCACTCAGAAATCCCACCTGCCCTGGAGCACAAATGCTAAACTGCTTCTGCAGCTTGAATTCTGGTTTGCTTTGGAGCTAAGGTGCAGACTAAACAATTGTTTTAATCTTTGGGACACAAAACTCATTTTAATTTAAAATATTAACCCTTCTTCACTAAAGAAGGGTGAAGATTGGGGTTCCTGTCACTGTTGCTCAGAGACTGGAACTGGGTGCTGGAAACTGAAGTCAGGTCCTCTGCAATAGCAAAAGGCACTCTTAACTTTTGAGATGTCTCTCTAGTCCTGTGTAGATCATTTGTTCATTCTCGATTGACTTTTGTATCCTGCGATATACGATTGTCTATATTTATATTTGTGCATGGGGAGGTCTGCTTGTCCCAAAATAAGACAGAAAGACAGGGCATTGAAGGGGATATGAGAGGGAACACACAGCCCCTCACCCTGTAATCATTTTTACATTTTCCTGACATTCAAGAGACCTCAAGCCAACTGATAGAGCCAAAATTACCTGCAGATATGATGCAACTATTCCTAAAGACATCCCAAATAATGTTTAAAAATAACAACAAATAAACTAGAGTCTGAAGATAGGGTTCATTCTTTAATATCACTGGATGTCTTCCAGAGGATCCAGGGTTGATACCCAACCCTACCCGATGGTTCACAACTGTCTGTAACTCCAGTTCCGAGAGATCTCATAAAGTCTGGTACTGTCTGTGGGCATTAGGTACTCACGTGGTGCACAGACTTCCCTGTGGAAAAGCATTCAAAAGCAGAAAATAAAAAACGCAGTTATGCTTTCTTAGGGGCAGAATACTTGTAGCCTTGAGATGGATGATGATAGCACTCTATTCTATCGCCTAAGTCACATAATCACCTTACAATTTAATTTACTGAAAGAAACTTTAAAAGGAATAAGCACATTTAAAAGCATTGCTTTTTAGTTTCATTTTTTACTTTTTAATAACCTATTGAATATTTTTTTCCTAATGGAAAAATAGAACCCATTTAAAGAGTAAAAATATTCTTATAGTTAATTTAAAAACCTGAATATAGGCTTTAATGTAATTTAATCTTGAAATTTTCTGAATTACATTCTTTCAGCAATGTAACTTTAGAGCCATAAAAATCCTCCCATTTCTCCCTCTCCCACTGTACCTCCCTCCCTGCCCACCTCACATACCCTTTGCAATGACACCTAATCTCAAGTCTCTCTCCAGTCCACTCTCAGGCCATCATGCAGGAGCCATCCTTATTCTGTGTGAGCTTCTATCCACAGGATTAATAAGCTCACAACCTTTGCTTCATCCTGGCTGTTTCTGAAATTCTTTACTGCATCCTAGATTCATCTTTACCAGGGTCAAGGTCATCAAAGCGACAGGGTTATCCTCAGGCTGCTGGTCACTGTGCTGGGCTGTACCTCCCTACCACTTATGGGGAGTCCCAGAAAAACTCGGTGAAGCACAAATGTCTGCTTCACTGAAGTGTCTTTGAGTCTTTGCTAAAGGTGTCCCCTCACACATGTGTGACTCTTCTGTCCCCTTCATATTCTTTTCTGTCTTATTGTCATTTCCAATCAGGCACACTGTCTACATTTCCAAAAGGTTTATAAGGAGTTTGGAAGTCAGGTGTTCATCCTCCGAGTTTGTTCCTTTATAAGGTTGTTTCAAGCTGGGGTTCTCCATATTCACTGTGAATTTCAGGATAAGCCCATTAGTTTATGAAAAGTCTGTTAGAGTTCTGTTGGTATTGCACTGGATCTATAGGACTATATGAGGAGAACAGACACCTGTATCTTCCATTGCATGAAGATGATTGTAGCGTGAGTTCTAATTGGTCTTAATAATAAAATCTGGAGTCAGATATTAAGTAGTTGGAGCTATAAGATCAGAACAGCAGAGCAGCCAGACACTAGTTCTTTCCCCGAAAAAATCCTCAGACCAAATGGAGCATCCTGTCTCTACAAGACCTCAGACTGACTGCCTGGATCTCCTATCTCCTCCCACCTTATATTCCTCTCTTTTTCCAGCCACATTCCTTTCATTCTCCATCTCCCTCGTGCTGGGATTAAAGGTGTGTGACACCAAAGCACTTTGATGAAAGATGTGAGTCACCACTGCCTGACTCTGTTTCTCTTTTAGACTGGATCAATCTAATGTAGCCCAGGATGGCCTTAACCCACAGAGTTCTGTTTCTTTTTTTTTTTTTAATTTATTTATTTATTAAGGATTTCTGCCTCGTCCCCACAACCGCTTCCCATTTCCCTCCCCCTCCCCCGAACAAGTCCCCCCCCCCCTCATCTGCTCGAAGAGCAATCAGGGTTCCCTGACCTGTGGGAAGCCCATGGACTGCCCACCTCTATCCAGGTCTCATAAGGTGAGCATTCAAACTGCCTAGGCTCCCACAAAGCCAGTACGTGCAGTAGGATCAAAAACCCACTGCAATTGTTCTTGAATTCTCAGTATTCCTCATTGTCCGCTATGTTCAGCTAGTCCAGATTTATCCCATGCTTTTTCAGACCTAGGCCAGCTGGCCTTGGTGAGATCCCAATAGAACATCCCCATTGTCTTAGTGTGTGGGTGCACCCCTCGTGGTCCTGAGTTCCTTGCTCGTGCTCCGTCTCCTTCTGCTCCTGATTTGGACCTTGAGATTTCTGTCCGGTGCTCCCGTGTGGGTCTCTGTCTCTGTCTCCTTTCATCGCCTGATGAAGGTTAATATTCCTGAGGATGCCTATGTGTTTGTCTTTGGATTCACCTTATTTAGCTTCTCTAGGAACATGAATTATAGGCTCAATGTCCTTTATTTATGGCTAGAAACCAAATATGAGTGAGAAACCAAATATGTTAAGAAACAGAGTTCTGTTTCTTAAGTGTTGGGAAAGGTGAGTTCCAACACTGCCTGTCTTCTGTGGCTAACTAGTGGCTATCTGCACACACTGATTCTCAGGCAAGCTTTATTGTCATGGAAGAAACAAAATATCACCACAGTCGATGAATCTATACATCTTTACTCTCAGCAATGAGTTGTCCCATTCAGTGTCTAGGCACTACAGAGAAGTGGGCAGAGTTTTCCTAATTATTTCATATTTCCTGATGCTATCTCCAGTGACAGGGATTTTAAATTACAGCTTCCACACATTCATTTCACTGTGGTCAGCTGTCTGTGTTAAATTTAGACAGAGTTATTGATGAATCTTTTAGGTTAAAATATTTAATTACATTCTCTATGATGAAAATGTCTTTGATGCTAACATATATTTGCTGTGTTCAAAATTCAGTACTTTGAAGTTGCAAGTGAATTATGAGAACAGAAACAAATGTCCAACACCCAGTTTGGGGGAAAATTTCTAAGGCAGCCACAGGTCAAAGGTTTGCCCCAATGGCATCTTTGGAATCATAGAGATAGTCCTTTACCTCCCAGCTAGCTCCATCAGGGAGGTGCTGAGATCACGGTGGAGAGAAAGAAGGGGATACATGTGAAGAGTTAGGTATGTATGTGTAACTCCAGAAAGGTTTGTATTATGAAGAATACTTAGGTAATTATTTTCAAAATATCTAATATTATTTTCCCCAACACAAAAAGGAAAAGGTTAGTACTCGTGTGTTTTCCCTCTTGTTTTCCCATCCAGTCATGCAGATTTTAGCAGTGTTGCTGTGGACTTGTACAGAGGGGTGTTTTATGTATGGTTCTTTCCATGTTTATTATAACCATGACGCCTGCTAAGTGTTGCTCTGATGCCTACTTCCCTGTGCAGTTACTAGTATACAAGCATTGCTTGTCTTTGAGTAATGTTTCCCTTTTATCTTTTGTTTATTAATGGATTTACTCATGCGTTTGTGTCTACTCAGAAACACCCATTTCTTAAAGGAGTACTCCTTTGTCATCATTATATACTGTGATGCTTAAATTATCCCATAACATGCCCGTGGGAGTACATTCAAGTGGACCTGCTCTTCATTTGTTATCTGTCTAGAATTCTGGATTATCTGACCACCCCTGGGAAGAAAGCCAAAAGCAAATGCTTCTTGTCAGTGATACTTTGTGTCCTCTGCCTATCAATGTCAGGTCTCTTCTATGAGAAGAACAGCAGGACTGCAGAGAGAACACGCAGAATGTTGACAAGAAGCTGACATGAGCCCTTGTTTCCAGTATGTGAGTCATCATTGCCACCAATGTGAGTGTGTGTGTGTGTGTGTGTGTGTGTGTGTGTGTGTGTGTGTGATGTGTACATGGGTGTGTATAAAGGGTCTGTGAAATGAACAAAGAAGAGGAAGATGTCACTGCACATCTTTGACTTGACTGGATGCAGACAGACTACTCCATCCTTATATTCAGTACAGTAGAGTGACAAGATCATGTGGGACTCACCAGGTCAGTCATTTCCTTTTCTCTTCCCATCTGTGTGACCAGCAGCTGGTCTGTGATGCCTTGTAGGAACACATCCTGTTGAGCAGTTCGCAGCAAAGAGCAGCACACTGTAAAACAATGGCATTCATAGACTCCCCAGATGACTGAACCCTGTAGGGGTCCCTTTAAATGACCAGGACTGAAATGGAAGCAATCCCCATCAGACCATTTCCCCGAATGGGCCATGCATGACTGCATCACATTTGGAGGGATTGCTTATTAAGATGGTAGAAATCTGGATCCACAACAGACACTGAATCATGCTTATTAAAATGGTAGATATCTGGGTCCACAGCAGACACTGATTCAAACCCTAGGAAGTGAGTGTGGCATAGCCACTTCTTTCTGATGGCTGTCCATGTTAAAACGTATTGCTAGTGTGTTTGATATTCTGTCTTCCAGGATATGAAGTCACAGACTGCTTAAGTCCATACCATGTTCTCTTGTTACTGACTTAAATACCACTGTGTTGCATGGCATATCAAATAGACAAATCAATTCCTTCGTGTACGTTTATCCAGATATTCACATAGTGGCCTCTTTAGTGAACACCTTGTTCCTGCACTGTGAAGACTAGCACGGGTCCTTGTATATCGTGTTAGATAGGTAAACTGTCAGTAAGCAGAAGAAATCAGTAATCACAGCAATTCCGTGTATTATTGGCGCTTTAAAGATCATAAAGGGGACAGGAAATAGTTGTGATGGGGATTGTCGTATGTGATGTTACCCCCAAAGGTTTCAGAAGTTAGCATGTGATCTGAGTCCTGAATGGCAAATAGAAGCAAGACCATGCACAAACCAAGTTGTGGGCGTGCTTGCTTCCATGGAGAACAGTGGATCTAAGAGCAGAGAACAAGGCTAGTTGCCAGAACCTTGAAGACAACGTGGACACTGCTTGGGGATAGGACAGAAAGGAAAATGTTGTCATTGTCAGCTGTGTATGACATTTGGATTATATGATCTGTGTGGAAGGTGAGTTATGAAATTGTCATGATATGTTTCCTTTTGGTAGAAGGTGACTTGGCACTGCACAGAGAAAGGCCTGGGGAGGGCGGGATGAGGTAGTGTGTGGAGACAGTGGAGATGGTTCCGAAGACAGGGGAGGGATGGAGGTATGAAAGAGGGATGAAGCCATGCTGCAGTGATCAGCAGGAGAGCTGCCCTGTGCAGCCTTGTCTGGGAGAGGGCCGATAGCAATGGATGCGCTGTGCATTTTCCCTGTGGAGAAATTGCTCTAACATCTCTGGATTTGTCTGACCACATGGAGACACGGTGCTTCCATTTACTGACATCAGTTATTCCACGTGTATTGACACAGGATAGTTTGAATACCCAAACTAGTCATTGTAAAACTTAACAATTTGATAACGAGTTGCTGATGAATAATTTTCAGATGTAAAGTTTTCTAAGTACAGCTAACTGTAGCATAATTTCCAACAGAATAAGAATCTAACATTTGTCTCTTAAAAAGTGAACCCAAAATTCAGTGTATTTTTGAAAATGGCTGTTCTACAGCATGTACTGCTCTTGGCAGGTTTACAGATGAAGGAAGTGAGTAGGTTTTAGGCAGAGTTGAAGTGAAATCAGTCTCTAAATTCTGCAGCAACTGTTTGTCCCTATTTCTCCAGAAGAAGACTGCCTTTAGAAATGCTTATTTTTGACAGCAGGGAATGGAGCAAACATTCACAAGACAGAGGCAGTTGGATGTCTGAGTTCAAGGCCAGCCTGTAATTCCAATTGCATATATCAACATTAGTCTGTCACATATGCAGGAACTTGTGACTGGTATTTAAAGCAGGTATTATCACTAAAGACCCCCAAATTAGCACATGAGCAGTGTGATGCTCTCAATTCACAGAGTGGGAAGCACAGCTCAGAGCAGAGGGTCTCACTCTGTTTTCTCCTCACAGAAATTCCCAGCCTGTGTTTGGAGAATGGGTCCAGGACATCCTGGCTCAGGGAACCAAAGTTGCTGGGGCTAGGAAGGTCCCACATCTCTCTGACTCTAGAAAAGTGGTTCAACCTGTGACTTGACCCCTTCAGCAAACGTCTATCTCCAAAACTATTTCCATTGTGATTCTTACCTGTAACAACTTTACAGCGATGATGAAGCAACAGAAATAATTTTCTGGTTGGGATCACCACGCATGAGGGACTGTATTAAGAGTCACGTCACAGCATAGGAAGGCTGAGAACCATTGCTGTACAGACATCCAAACGCAGAATCCGGCTTCTCAGATATCTCTGGGATCCCTTCATCATTGTCCCCATACTCCTAGGGAGGCACAGCCCCACATCAGGACACATACACTCACATCTCCGTGCAAGGGAAATCCTGTTCTTCTTTCTCCGTCATTTCTATTTCCACACACTATGCTATATTTCCAAATTTTCTTTTTTTATGTCTTCAGTACTGAGCTTAAGGATGTGTCTGATTCTTTGACCAACCTTTTTCCTGTTTTGTGATTCTTCTGCAGGGTCTGGGTCATTGGCTGTGCACACACATCCACAGACAGTACAACAACAGCCTCTAGTCCCTTGTTGCTGACCTTTGGGAAGCTGGGCATGTAAGGTAGGTTTGCTGGCAGGAGACATGCTCTCAGGAACAGGATGTCCTTGCCAGAGGCTGGACTCGAGGATGCTACAGCACTTAGATCTGCCCAGCATCTGACGGCCCTGTCCCAAGCTCTTCACAAATGTGGTGGGAGCACATTTGGGGATTTTTAAAAGTGGTCCCTAGACACTGCTATTGCTCCCCTGGCTGTGCACACATTCCCAGCTATATTCTTGATTTCTCTGGTAGCTGTTCAATGAGAATGCTATACCATGAAAAGAAATCACTGGTGAATTTAAAAAGCCACAGTATGGGGACTGGCGACATAGCTCTCGTGGCAGAATGATTGCCTAGAATGGAAATTGCTCTGTGTTCTTTGACCCTCTGGGCATGTTCACCCTCACCTGTAATACCAGCACTCAAGACGTAGAGGCAGGAGGAAAGAGACAAGAGAGTCATTACTGTTTATGAGAGTATGGCTCCCAGCCCCCATGGCAGATAGCTCACAACTGCCTTTAACTCTAGCCCCATCAGGAGTCAATGCCTCTGCCAATCATGTGCATACCACAGACAGACAGACAGACATAATTAAAAGTATAACTAAAATCTAAACAAGAAAAAAAAAGAAGCATCAACTCCAGGTCATTGACCAAGGGGAAAACACAGTGGAATTTAAAATATGAACATTATAAAGGCTAACGGAATCTAACAGTCTACAGTCTGGCAGGGGAGATGACTCAGTGGTTCAGAGTGCATTCTATTGTTGCTGAGGATCCAAGGTAGTTTCCAGCATCCATTTCCAACATCCTTGAAGGACCATACCTCAGCTCCAGGAAGGTATGACCTCTCCTGACCTTTGGAGGCGCCGGAATTCATGTGTACATACACATAGGAATATACACAACGTAATTATTATTAAGTTATGTATATTTTAAAATTATGTACAAATTAAAATAATTGTTGTGAAACAATGAAGAAAAATGGTCAAATGCCAGGCAGTAATGAGAACAGTTTTCATCAGCGTTAGGTGGCAAATGCGTGCACTTTCAGCTATTTGAACACTGGGGTTACACGATCATTACTGCTAAGAAGTTTCAGAACAGCCTTAATAGCACAGAGAGGCCCTGCCTCAAAATGAAAACCAAACAAAAACCAGAAATATCTCAGAAAATGTGAAATTTCTTAGGAAAACAATCTTAGAGTACATGGTTTTTCAAGAGATGTGGATCATTATAAAATAAATTTTTGCAGGGAAATCAATGATAAAATTACTTATTTCGTGGGAATTCAACAATATACATGTAGAAATGGAATGAAAATGTTACTGGGCCGAGAAGAAAACAGTAGCATTAAGAATGTGTTTACATTAAAATGAATACTTGAGCTGGGGCAGTGTGGTAAGCTGGGAGGACCAGCAGCACTCTGAAGGCTGAGGGAGGAAGGGGAAGAGTCCCAGGCTGGGCTGGGCTGCTCTGAGACTCTGCACTAAACACACAAAATAATTAGCAGGACTATTATCGTTCCATTCACTGTGGGAAAGTTTCAGCTTAGTTCTGTCATGGGAAACCATCCTCTTTTCACTGGATGTTAGGCAGAGCCCTGTGTGTCCGTGGCAGACACATTAAAGATTACCATCCCCTAAATGGGGAAGTGACTTCCTCACCACCACATACAGCAAGGCGCACAGAAAATGGCGGCTGGCACTCTACTCAGATAGCTCACTCTCTGGAGATTTCCCTGCAGACAGCCCTGTGCCTTAGGGGTAGGAATAAGCCCGGCGACAGACACAGATTTCCTTATGGTAGTACATGTGCTTTCCGGTGGTGTTTCAAATTTCGTATCCAGGAAGTAAAGTACTTTAAAGTGTAAACTGAGAAAAATGCTTGTGCTCGGGTGGTAAAAGTGGGGCTGGGGAGACAGCTAAATCAATAAATTGCTGGCCTTGTGGGCATGAGGCCCTGAGTGTCATTCACAGAGAGCATCATCAAGAAAATGAAGTTAAACTACAGCAGGAAAAGTAGTAGGTGTGGTGGGACTTGCTTGTGTGTGAAGGTGGAGGCAAGCCTATCCCTGGAGTGTGCTGCCCAGCCAACCCAGCCTGCCTTGCGTGTTCCAGGCCAGTGAGAAACCTTGTCTAAGAAAAACTTCAGGGGGATGGCGCCTGAGGTACAACACCGGAGGCTGCCTTCTGTCCCCTGACCACATGCATGTATGCATACAATTGCAGAAGCACACACATATGCACACGGGCACACAACCACACACTGGATAAACGATGTTTATACCTTCTGTACTTTAGAAGTAGTCATTGTGTTCCATTTCTGGGCAATGAAGTAGAAGGACAAATGGAATCTACTCTCATGCTCTGTGCATGCCTGTGTGCATATGTGTGTGTGTGTTTGCACACAGAGCTCCACCATCTCTATCTAATGAGGCTGCTTTATGTTAGCCTTAGACTGGGATTGGTCTCCAATCTCTGGTTTACATTTGATATACCTAAGATGTCAAGGTTTATGTACCAGGAAAATATACTGAAGTGAAAAAACACTGCTTTATCTCCAGAGGTAAGTTCCCTTCAAGTCCAGGTCACAGCCAATGTTCCCTCCCACCCAAACATAGACGCCACTGGGCCCAAGACTCTCACTGATGTAGTCCCCATTATGGCCAGGAGGTGGCATTCAAACTACATGCCTACATTTATTTTCTTTAAAGGGGCTGATGTTTTATGGAATAGCAATGCGTTTTCAGTGTGTTTGGAAACTTGATACAATACTAGAGCAGTTCCATTTATGGATTGCAGCAACTGTAGTGCTCCACAACTCACTTCATCCTCCCTGAGTGTAAAGTGGGCAGTGCACAAGGGATACAGAGTGGTGCTCTGTAGAGAATATGAATGTGATGGTCACCTTGAATCCCCTGACACTGGAATGGATGGATTTCCTAGACTTTCCATCTCCTCTCCAGAGGCACCAGATGAACACAGATGCCATCTTTAAAGGATTCCTCTAGCCATACTGGGACAAATGGAGCATGGAAATAGAGAACAGCAATAGAGGAAAACAGTTTGGGAAAATGGGTGTTGAGCCATACTGATATCGGTCAGCACATGAGTAAAGAACTATGGAGATAAGTAAGCAGTATACTACACACCAGGTCATCATTGAAGAGGACCAGGAGAATTATAACACATAGCCTATCACAGCAGTAAGTGATTAACTAACTTTCACACATATATATCCAGGGACATATTTGCACAAGCATGAGTATATACACAACACACACTAACAAATGTCAATGTAAACACACAGCTCTCACCTCGAAGGAAGAAGAGAGTTCATTCTGGAGTCAAATATCTGTGAGTAAACATGAGTGAGACAGGTTTATGTTAGTACAAATTACATGTCACAATGTGGAAACAGTTTCATGAAGTATTTATAATCACAGAATGAAGAAACTATAGACTCTCCTTAAGTACATGGGTGATAATATTAAGTAGACTGTTATGGTAAAGCAGAGAAACCTCAGCTACAGGCACTAGCTGCTATGTGATGAAAAGCAGTCCTTTGACTGGTAGAAACTTAAAGCTTTGATAAGGAGACATATTCTGATATTTTAAATGTCAGGTCCAACGTCATCTGTTAATGACAAGGTGTTAAGTAAGTCCAGCACAGGGGGCCCAAGGAGTGGCTACTCATGGGCTCAAAAGAACACAAAGGAAATTGTAATTAGGCCCTGGGACTGCGACTTCCACCATCTCCATATCACTGCAGGTCTAAGAGTCAATCAACCAGGCTTTGCAGACCAGCCTCTGCCAAGGAATTCCTGTACACACACACACACACACACACACACACACACACACACACACACACGACACCTCTCATTCTCACTCTCCTAGCTCCCTGGTGTTTACTGAGAGCTCAAGGGGTACAATCACGTTAAAACAGTTTCATCTCTGACCACACACAGGATAGTGAGAGCTACTAAATTATGTATGTCTTTTGCGTGTGATATCTGTGACGATGGCCATGGACTTGTCTCTGGGATATTTCTCTCATTTGTTTCTGACTGTCAATAATAACCTGCAAACGCTGATAAGGAAAGGGGGAGAAACTGCATTACACATCAAATGAAGTTCCCATCACGGAATAATCCATGCTTTCAACAAAAAAAGATTATATCAGACTTAAGAGTTCCATATGTCTTCCCAGGGCATATGCCTTTGAGGTTAGGTTATGCAGGGCCTCTCATTTAATAAATTATTTTCCTATGATTGTGGTCACATTGAGAAAACTACTTTGCATTCATCTGCAATTATTAATCGGCTTTTATACTTTCTTGTAATTTTCCTTCAATCCATATTTTGCTTTGTGACTGAAATATAAGTATGAAAGATTAGCATTCTCCTAATGAATTTTACACATAACATTACTGCATGTTTTAAAATTGTTTTATTCCACTTTAGTTTTAGTTCTTTCTTAAACGTTAAGATTATAACTCTAGATTTCTAATAATTCGTTCCTGGATGGTATGTGTTTACTTCTTTTTACGTGTTCAAGATAACATTTTAATGCCTTTGTTTCAGATATATGTCTTGAAAAAAGCAATCATTTTAGAGTCTATTTCAGTCAGCAATAAGAACATCGGTTATTTTTGGCTTTTGTTTTGTGTTTGGTAAGTTATGTCCATTTACATTTTTTACATTTATTTGTCTGCCTATTTTGTGTGTCTGGCAAGGCCATACATGATCTACAGTGTACTTGTAGAGGTCAGAGGACAACTTGCAGGAGTCATTTCTCTGCTTCCACAATGTGGGTCCTTGGGATCCAACTGAAGTCATCAGAAGCAGTACTCGGGCTTCTATTACACTTTAATACGATCTACATATAAGGTGAGTCACACAGTATACCTTTTTGTCCAACATATTTACTTGTAAACTTTCATTGCAATGAGTCATTGAACTTGTTCATGGCCTCTAGTTTCTGGTACACTATCATCATGGGACCCTCAACAAAACTCCTCTAGGATATCCTGCAGTCACCCCAAGTAACAGAGATTCTGCAGGTATTGTTCCCCAGGACCAGTCAATTCCAGCATTCCAGTTGGCCTTAGATGGTGTAGATGTTAGGATGGGCCAAGCCAAGAACCCCAATATGGACCTGGGTGGTAGCTGAGCTGATCAGCTGCCTGCCTAAGGATAGGGCCGAAGCCAGCTCACCTATGCCCATGGCACCAGGCCCAGTTTTCCAATGCCCATGGTGAGGTGTGGGACTAACTCTCCTGTGAAAGTCAGGGCCAGCTCTTGACACAATGTCCACCAAAGGGCAGAACCAGCTCACTCTGGCCCTTGGATATCATCATTCATGGCTCTTAAGGCCCCCTGTAGTAACATGGGCCACAAACATCAGCACATACCCTAGCTCTGGTAGGACCATAGACCCAACATGATCCTGGCAGCAACTCGTCCTTGATGTCACCATTTCCCGGGTGGTTTCACAGACCACACAGATCAGGATGGCACCAGCTGCAGCAAAGCCTTTGGACACCAACGTGGCCTCAGGTGGTGACCCACACTTCAGGCATCCGCATGGCCTTCATTGGTAACAGGAATCAGGAAGACAAAGACCCTGGCTACTGCTGGGTCACAGATATGGCCCTGGTCAGCAGCTCAGGCATGCACAACACCAGGTTGGCAGCTCGGGTCTCTCAGATCATTGTCACTCCAATGGCAACACAGCGCTCAGATCCCAACAAGGCCAGAGGACACAGCCCAGACTCCAGGCTCCTGTGTGCCCTTTGGTGGCAGCATGGACCATGGATGTTAACATAGACCCGAGCTGCAATAAGACCAGAGACCCAGAAATGACCTTTGGTAGCAACCTCGGTCCTGTTGACACCATGACCATGAATGACAAGAAGACCACCCCCTCAGCCTTTTCCTTACCACCTTCTATTCCCCCTCTTTTCACAGCACATGAACTATCCCGCTACTCTTTCTCTCCTGTTTCTCCACCACACATTTTGCTCATTGTAATGGAAGCCTTGTAGCTCTGGGCAGGCCTCTGGTTGTCTACCAGCCAGACCAGGCTTTGAGGACTCTGGCTGGTCTGTGATTGGCTAGCACCTTCTGGACCTGGATGCCATAAGGCAGAGTGGAGATGTCTTTCTGCCAGACAATGAGTACAATTAAAAACATATATGTGTAGTGTAAACATTTCAGCTCAAATGTAAAGGGATCCTGGCCGTCCAGATGCAAGGAATACCACAAAGTCAGTATAAGCTTAGCAGCTTACAGATCTGCTTCAGGGAAAGCTTTCCTCAAAGTAACAGCTCTGCTCCATCAGGAAAGTTGTTACAGCTTTGGTCAAATGACAATTAACATATCAAGAAACTGAGAAATATTTTTCCAAGTTATTGTCCTATTTCCCATGGCTACCAGCAGTCAGTATGATAGTTTCATCCCCCACAACCTTGCCAGGTCTTCATATTATTATTTCTGTATATTTTGTGGGGGTGTCAAGAGTCCCCTAGAGTCACCTGTCTCTCTTCCCTAAGTGTTAAGGATGTTGATGCTGTATGTTTCTCTTAGTGGAGCATCTACTCACCCTTCTGGACAACTTTTATTTCATGAATTGTGTATTTTCTTAGTGACTCTTTTTTAGGCTTTCTGTATTCTGGAAACAATAAGGCTGTCATCTAATACACAATTTCCTACATTCATTTTTTTCCCAGGCAGGGAAAATAACTTTTATATCACAGTTTACATTTTTCACTTTATGGAAGTCCTAACAGTCCAGTTCTTTTCATAAAAGGGGTTTGTTATATCTATGAATTTTATCTATAATTCTATCAATTGCTTTCTGTTACAAGATTCATGCTTAGGTTGTATTTTGGATTAATTACCTTTTAGATTTGCTTTCACTATTTACTGGGTATCTGCCTATATGTTTGTGTGTGCCGTATGCACATTTGAATGCAGATGCTTGCTGAGACCAGAAAAGACTGTCAGCTCCCCTGGATCTGGAGTTATAGGTATCTCTGGGCCACCATATGGGGACTGTAAGCTGAAGTCAGGTCCTCTGCAATAGCCAAAGGCACTCTTAACCTCAGAGATGTCTCTCTAGTCCTATGTAGATCATTTGTTAATTTTGGTTGACTTTTGTATCCAGTGATAAACAACTTGTCTATATTTATATTTGTCCATGAGGATGTCCACTTGTCCCATAATAAGACAGAAAAACAGGGCATTGAAGGGGATATGAGAGGGGAATACACAGCCCCTCACCCTGTGATCATTTTTTTTTTTTTTTTGATTTTCGAGACAGGGTTTCTTCATAGCTTTTTAGTTCCTGTTCTGGAACTAGCTCTTGTAGACCAGGCTGGCCTCGAACTCACAGACATCCGCCAGCCTCTGCCTGCCAAGTGTTGGTATTAAAGGCGTGAGCCAACACTGCCCGGCCCTGTGATCATTTTTACATTTTTCTAACTGACATTCAAGAAGCCTCCACCCAAATGATAGAGTCAAAATTACCCACAGATATAATGCAAGTAGTACTTAAGACATCTCAAAGAAAGTTTAAAAATAACAACAAATAAACTAGGGTCCGAAGATAGGGGTCATTCTTTAATATCACTGGATGTCTTCCAGAGGATCCAGGGTTGATACCCAGCACCTACCTGATGATTCACAACTGTCTGTACTCCAGTTTGAGAGATTTCAAACTCTGGTGCCCTCTGTGAGCAATAGGTATTCACTCAGATGGTGCACAGACTTCCTTGTGAAAAACATTAAAAAATTAATTAATTATGCTTACTTAGGACCAGAATGTTGGCAGAATCACATATTCACCTTACAATTTAATTTACTAAAAGTTTTTTAAAAGGGATAAGAACATTTAAAAGCATTTTTATTTTTTACTTTTAATAACCTATTGTATATTTTCTTCAAGTGGAAAAACAGAACCATTTCAAAGACTCAAAGCATGAAATTTTAAAACAATGTAATAATGTAACAATGTAACTCTGAGAACCATAAAAATCTTCACATTTCTCACTCTCCTGCCCTCCTCACACACCCTAATCTCAAGTCTCTCTAGTCCTCACTCAGGCCTTCATTCCTGAGCCATCCCTATACTATGTGAGCTTCTTCCATAGCATGAATAAGCTCACAAGCTTTGCTTCATTCTGGCTTTTCCTGAAATTCTTTTCTGCAGCCTAATCATAGATCCAGCTTTACCAAGGTCATGGTCATCAAAGGAACAGGGTTATCCTTAGGCAGCTGATCACGATGCTGGGCTGTACCTCCTATAACCACCTACAATCCCAGAAAAACTCGGTGACCAGCATACGCCTGCTTCACTGAAGTGTCTTTGTGTCTTTGCTAAAGGTGTCCCCTACACATGTGTGACTCTTCTGTCCCCTTCATATTCTTTTCTGTCTTCTTGTAATTACCAATGAGGCACACTGTCTTCATTTCTCTATGTTTATAAGGAGTTTGGGAGTCAGGTGTTCATCCTCCAAGTTTGTTCCTTTTCAAGGTTGTCAATGTCAGGTCTCTTCTATGAGAAGAACAACAAGACTGTAGAGAGTACACACAGAAGGTTGACAAGAAGCTGACATGAGCCCTTGTTTCCAGTATGTGAGTCATCAGTGTCACCAGTGTGTGAGTGTGTGTGTGTGTGTGTTTGTGTGTGTGTGTGTGTGTGTGTGTGTGTGTGTCTGTATAGGAAGGGTCTGTGAGATGAACAAAGAAGAGGAAGATGTCACTGCACATCTTTGACTTGACTGGATGCAGACAGACTACTCCATCCCTATATTCAGTACAGTAGAGTGCATGAGCGTTCTCATCTGCCTTCCTCCCCTCTCCATGAGCTTTCTCTACTCCTTCTCTGCCTTCTAGTAGAACAGGGGAGAAAACAGTGAACTTTCCATGCAGAACCAACTCCTGGAGAAGAACCAAAAGTGGTGTGGTCTGTTCAGCCTGTTACCTGAGCAACAGTGACAAGATCATGTGGGACTCACCAGGTCAGTCATTTCCTTTTCTCTTCCCATCCGTGTGACCAGCAGCTGGTCTGTGATGCCTTGTAGGAACACATCCTGTTGAGCAGGTAGCAGCAAGAGCAGCACACTGTGGAACAATGACATTCATAGACTCCCCAGATGACAGAAGTCTGCATGGGTTCCTTTAAATGACCAGGACTGAAATGGACGCCATCCCCATCAGACCATTTCCCCGAAAGGGCCATGCATTACTGCATCACATTTGCAGGGAGTGCTTATTAAAATGGTAGATATCTGTGTCCACGACAGACACTAAATCATGCTTATTAAAATGTTAGATATCTGGGTCCACAACAGACACTGAATCAATACCTGAGAAGTGGGGTGTGGCATAGCCACTTCTTTCTGATGGCTGTCCAGACTGAGAAGCTTCTGTAAAGCAAAGGACACTGTCGCTAAGACACAAAGGCAACCCACTAACTGGGAGAAGATCTTCACCAACCCCGCAACTGACAAAGGTCTGATCTCCAAAATATATAAAGATCTCAAGAAACTAGACCGTAAAAGGCTAACCAACCCAATTATAAAATGGGGCATTGAGCTGAACAGAGAATTCTCAACAGAAGAACTTCAAATGGCCAAAAGACACTTAAGGTCATGCTCAACTTCCTTAGTGATCAGGGAAATGCAAATCAAGACAACTTTAAGATACCATCTTATACCTGTCAGAATGGCTAAAATAAAAAACACCAATGATAGCCTTTGTTGGAGAGGTTGTGGAGAAAGGGGTACACTCATCCATTGCTGGTGGGAATGCAAACTTGTGCAACCACTATGGAAGTCAGTGTTTCGGTTTCTCAGGAAATTCGGGATCAACTTACCCCTGGACCCAGCAATACCACTCTTGGGAATATACCCAAGAGAGGCCTTATCATACAACAAAAGTATATGCTCTACGATGTTCATAGCAGCATTGTTTGTGATAGCCAGAACCTGGAAACAACCTAGATGCCCTTCAATGGAAGAATGGATGAAGAAAGTATGGAATATATACATATTAGAGTACTACTCAGCAGTAAGAACCAAGGACTTCTTGAATTTTGCATACAAATGGATGGAAATAGAAAACACTATCCTGAGTGGGGTAAGCCAGACCCAAAAAGAGGAACATGGGATGTACTCACTCATATTTGGTTTCTAGCCTTAAACCAAGGACATTGAGCCTATAATGAGTGATACTAGAGAAGCTAAATAAGGAGAACCCAAAGAAAAACATATAGGCATCCTCCTGAATATTAACCTTCAGCAGGCGATGAAAGGAGACAGAGACAGAGACCCACATTGGAGCACCGGACATAAATCTCAAGGTCCAAATCAGGAGCAGAAGGAGAGAGAGCACGAGCAAGGAACTCAGGACCGCAAGGGGTGCACCCATACACTGAGACAAAGGGGATGTTCTACTGAGAACTCACCAAGGCCAGCTGGCCTGGGTCTGGAAAAGCCTGGGATAAAACCGGACTCTCTGAACATAGCAGACAATGAGGACTACTGAGAACTCAAGAACAATGGCAATGGGTTTCTGATCCTACTGCACACGCTGACTTTGTGGGAGCCTAGGCAGTTTGGATGCTCAACTTACTAGACCTGGATGGAGGTGGGGTTCCTTGGACTTCCCACAGGACAGGGAACCCTGATTGCTTTTCGGGCTGAGGGGGGGACTTAATTGGGGGAGGGGGAGGGATATGGGAGGCGGTGGCGGGGAAGAGACAGAAATCTTTAATAAATAAATAAATTAAAAAATTTAAAAAAAAGTATTGCTAGTGGGTTTTACATTCTGTCTTTCAGGATATGGATCACAGACTGCTTAATTCCATACAATGTCCTCTTGTTAATCCCATAAATACCAGTGTGTTACATGGCATAGCAAATAGATAAATCAATTCCTTCATGTATGTTTATCCAGATATTCACATAGTGGCCTCTTTTGTGAGCACCGGGTTCCTGCACTGAGAAGACTAGCAGAGTTAGATGGCTAAATTGTCAGTAAGTAGAGGATAGCAGTAATTGCAGCAACTCCATATGTTATTTGTGCTTTAAAGAACTCAAGGTGGACATAAAATGGCTGTGATGGGGATTGTTGTAGGTGGGGTTTCCCCCAAAGTCGGTTTCATCAGGTAGCATTTGACTCGAGTCCTGATTGACAAGAAGAAGAAGGGATATACAAGCCTTGTTGGTGGGCTTGTCCACATGGACCTCATTTGGTCTACGAGCAGAGGACAAGCCTAGAGGCTGGCGGACAGTGTAGTCATGTCGGTGTGAGGTGGAAAAGGTAGATGACTCTCATAGTCTTTCAGTTGTATTATGACTATGAAAGGAAGATTTGGAGAGAGTCACAATTTCACTCTTGTTGTTGTTATGTTATTGTGTGTAGAATGAACTGAGTAGAAACTGTTGCGAGAGTGGGTTGGAACAGCCATTATGGTCAACGGGAGCCATGCAGCTGCAGTGTGTAGAGAGTGGAACATTTGGCCATGGCTGCTGTTGGCAGGGCAGTGACTGTGCATGGGGCTTATGGGGAAGAGGCGGGGCAAAAATTCCTGGGCTTTTCTGGCTCCATGTCCACATAGTGGTGCTGTTTTCTGATATCAGTTGTTTCTTGTGTTTTTGAGACATTCCCTGGATGGTTTGGAAACCCAATGACCCTTATCGTGAAACTTGGTGATTTAATGACACACATCAGTTGATGAAGAAGCTTCTCTCATCTCTGCAGCAATACTTGCTCACCTTAGTGACACCTGGAAGTGTCATACAATGTTCACCTCCCAGAGGAGTAGTAGTAATGGCACTAGTGGTAAAGGTAGTAGTAGTGATAGTGGTGGTGGTATTGGTGGTGGTGGTGATGGTGGTGGTGATGGTGGTGATGGTGGTGGTGGTGGTGGTGATGGTGGTGGTGGTGGTGGTGGTGGTGGTGGTGATGGTGGTGATGATGGTGGTGGTGGTGATGGTGGTGATGGTGGTGGTGATGGTGGTGGTGGTGCTGGTGGTGATGGTGGTGGTGGTGGTGGTGGTGGTGGTGGTGGTGGTGGTGATGGTGGTGATGATTGTGGTGGTGGTGGTGATGGTGGTGATGGTGGTGATGATGGTGGTGGTGGTGGTGGTGGTGGTGGTGATGGTGGTGGTAATGGTGGTGGTGGTGGTAATGGTGGTAGTGTTAGTGGTGGTGGTGTTGGTAATTTTGGTGGTGGTGTTAGTGGTGGTGGTGGTGGTGATTTTGGTGGTGGTGTTAGTGGTGGTGGTGGTGATGATGGTGGTGGTGGTTGTGGTGGTAGTGATGGTGGTGGTAATGGTGGTGGTGGTGATGGTGGTGGTGGTAATGGTGGTGTTGGTAATGGTGGTGGTGTTAGTGGTAATGGTGGTGGTGGTGATGGTGGTGGTGGTGGTGGTGGTGTTAGTGGTGGTGATGGTGTTAGTTGTGGTGGTGGTGGTGGTAGTGGTGGTGGTGGTGGTGGTGGTTGTAGTTTCACCTCTGGGACCTCTGAACTCGCCAACCATGGGATCATGATGACATTTATAGTATTAGGCAAGTGTTTCCTCCTGTGGAGTGGGCCTTAAATTGAAACATAAAGTTACTTGGTTACCTCTGTGATATTCATGCCACTGTTGACCCATGGGTATATCTTGCCATGTTGGCCATTATTGTAGTTCACAGAGGAATAAGAACATTGACAACTTTCCTCCACTCAATAGCCTGGTAGTATCTTCTGGTAATAGGAAAACTAGGTAATAGGAAGGAAGGTTTCTGGTCAGTGTCAACTTGATTTCTCCATACCCTGTGGCCAACGTGTGTGGTGTCTTAAGCAATAGGAATCAAGAGCAATGACAATAGGAATCAAGATCAAAACAATACCTGCATTGTTTTGGGGGATCACTGGAACAGCCCTGACCAACAGCTGGAGGGGGTGTTCCACACTTGGCACTGGGCTTTTTAATAATCCATGGCTTCTGGGAGAAGCATCATCCCTTTCGTCAGGTAACTCCAATTAAATTCATATATATTATAAAATAGTAGGTTGGCTACTACTATCACGTCTGGTCTTTAATTCAATCTGTAAGAGAAAATATTTCACATCTCCCTGATAAGTCTGACTTGCTGCACTCACGTGAAGATCTCCATTTTAACACGGACTTTTTAGTCTTTTCCAAATTCTTCCTGATGAGATAGGTCACTGTGCACTTTTCTGTTGCATTCCTGGCCCCAAATCTGGAATCAGCCATTTTCCCCAGGCATCTTTGAGGGGGCAGTGTTTTTAGTGTACTCAATCTGAGCAATGGAGTTGGTGATAAGTAGTTGATTGGAATCAGTGCATGGAATGAGTACTTCTGCATCTTCGAGAGCATAAATGTCAGCCTCTGTCCTGGTTTCTTCCAGGGCACTCTATAGGAGATCATTTTCTTTTCTTGGGGGGCGCTCAACTATCCAGTGTTTCAAAGCACAAGCATACATATTTTATCAATTCTCCCACTCACAATAAAGGTGTGCACTCTCTGTTCCCAATGCACCTTTCTGAATTGATGAAAATGCTCTGCATCTGCACTGCCCAGCCCAGGAAGCTCTAGCTGTCTGTGGCTGTTGGCCACTGGAAATCTGAGCAGTGCTGAAGGTGACACTTATAATTATGGTTAAATTTTGTTTGTTAAAGCTGACTTTATTTATTTTAAATAGGGTTATATAATTTATTAACCTCCATGTGCCGCATGTAACTGAGGAAAATATTAGGCAGATAACCCTGGCCTCATTTCTTCACCTTGTGTTGTGTATTCACAATATATCCTGGAGATCACTCTATAATTATAATCATGGACTTCATGTTGCCTTCTTAAAAATTATTTTGTTTGTTTTGAGATAGAATCTCAGTATATAAGTCAGGTAAAACTTGAGCTCACTATGTAGCTCAGGATAGCCTCAAAACGACTATTCTCTTGTCTTTACCATCAGCCTGTTGGCATCACAGATGCATACCATCATACCTGGCTAAGCACATGCGTACCTAGTCATTTGAGTGGTAGATACACCTGAGATCATGCTGTCCCTCTTTCCTTCCCACAGATGTTTTTCATAGTTC